TGGCGTTCCCCCCCCCCCCCCCGTACACCTTTTGCAAAAGTCCAACAGAACATTCCAAGAAGGACGAAGAGGAAAAAAGCATTACCGTTTGCTTAAGCAAAGACAAACAAACGATTCCTGGAACAAATATATTATTTTCACCACACCAGTGCGAGAAAAGAAATCAAAGGTCTCCCTATCCACCTCCCCCACCCCCATTCCCAAACGGGGAGGAGAAAAGCCTTTGATTTCTTTCAGCAGAACTTAGTAAATGTTACTATGGTTATATGTTAAAATTATAGCACTGTGTCAAAATCAAACATTTGGAGATAATCAGCTTTGGGCACAAGCACAATTCTCACTTTCTCATTTTCTCTGCTGAAAGAGAGGTGCCCAGTCAGTTGTCAGCTACCTCTCCTTGGGGTGTAATCACTGGATTAGCTCCCTGCTCACTCGGTTGGGCAGCGGGGCTTAGCAAGCAGCCCTGACATCCCACCAGGAGCTGCCTTCTCAGAACCCCCAAGGGCAGGGGGTTATTCTTCGGATAACGCTGCTCCCCCTTTGAGCCAATCCACACAACTCTGACCACCTGCTCTGGTGACTCCTGCTGAAATCTGGTGTGGGAAGGTGGGCCATCCCATCATCCAATCCATTTGGGGAATGATTGAAATGGCGCAATAAGCCTTTATCTGGGTTCACACCATGACCCCTTCTTCAAACAGCCATTTATTAAGTGCCCAAACCAGGGACAATCCTCTCGCGATGGACTATCGGCCGGACATGGCCCTGGAACCATACAGGATACCAGGACGGGGCAGACCCAGAGCTTCTCCACGCTTGACAAGCCCTGGAACTGGAGCTGGCGCGTAACCGAACTGGACCCGATGGTGAGGCCGTGTGGAAGAGCAGAAGCGGCAAGCTGTTTGCCTTTTCTGTCTAGTCCAAACAATCTATGAGGGAAAACTGAAAAGAGGGTACGCGTGGCTTCCTCTGGGTTGCCTGGCAATCTGGATACATGGACAACCACTTTTCTCGATTTCATTACAGATTCGCTATGAGAAGACAATTGTCTACCCTGGTCCCCTCTGGAAGCAGAAACTAAATTTTCAGGTCAAAGTCCAATCCTTACGATTAAGGCGCACACTGGCTTTTTCAAAGCAGCACAGAGCAATCCCCCCCCCACTTACACACACACACACACACATACACACACACGGAGAACATGGCCCACCCTTTCAAGATCAAAAACTCTTTCAATCAAATAGAGAAACACATAAAAGTGCCTTGTTCTGCTTGTGTTCAGAAACACCACACTCAAATGATTATTGCTAACCACCAAAATACACTTTTAACATCAGCAAGCTTTTTCCCTTTTTAAAAACACACACAAAAAACAATCTTCGCACCAGGATTTTATAGAGCTTGATGGAAAAATATGCATGTTCCTTCCTGTACCTAATTACCCCAGCTGCAGAAATCTGCCAAGAATTCTGCCCTTTCGTTCTTTTAATCGTATTAGTACAAATGCATTCCAATGCCAGTAGAAACACTTTCTTGTTTAACTGATTCCAAATCTGTATTAGAAGAACTATTTTTGAAACATCACCTTTCCTTTTCTGAGAAGAAATCATAGAGGCACATTCTTGCTTTCTGATCATGTTCATGGGTTTCTCTCTCTGTGTTTATTGTTTTCACTTATATTATTTCCTTCTCTTTCTGGAGGGACCGCACACACGAAAGTGTGGAAGGGTGAAGGGCTGGTGGCAGCCCACTGACTTTGCGTGTAGAAGTTCTCAAACTTTTCTAGGTGGGTCTGCAAGAAACTCTTGTGTGAAATATTGGAAAGCAGTTAATGCAAACAAGATGGAGCTGGAGAACTCATTAGAGCAGCTTCCTCTGCTTCTGTTCTTCCAAGTCTTCTGGGAGTCTCTTCTTTCCGCTAGTGGGACATCACCTGTCAACTTCACCGCTTTACAGAGAAGTTATTTACCTAACACTTCATGAATGGCTTAACATTAATTAGTGCAGCACTCTTCTAGATCTAAAGAGTGTATAGTCTAAGACTGATTTAAAGCACCTCAGTTCTAGAGGAGGTTTGCATGATCTTTTGATGTTTTACTGTGTATTTCTCTAAGCTTTGTGTTGGCCTGATATCATACTAGCAACCAAACTAGAACAGCTTCCAATACTTGGCACTCCTCCAGCCTTCAGAGATACTGATAATTACACTGATGTTTCCATGTCATTGTTATTCTGCTGCAAGACACAATTCCAGCTTCTAATTAGGCACTTCCCATATTCTGTCCATTCATTTTTTGAAAATGACTTTTAAAAAAAAACACAGAGGAATGTAAGCTCGTGAAGAACCTAGTAGAACAATGTAATGCAGATAAGAAAACTTACATCTGTTTCTATCACTACCAACATTATCGTGTGAAGCAAGAATGTGGGGGGGGGGGAGTATGAATATAATTTCTCAGAAGGTAATTTTCCTTTCAGCCTAAGTACTCTTATTTGTTTCTATCACTACCAACATTATCGTGTGAAGCAAGAATGTGGGGGGGGGGGAGTATGAATATAATTTCTCAGAAGGTAATTTTCCTTTCAGCCTAAGTACTCTTATTTGTTTCTATCACTACCAACATTATCGTGTGAAGCAAGAATGTGGGGGGGGGGGAGTATGAATATAATTTCTCAGAAGGTAATTTTCCTTTCAGCCTAAGTACTCTTATTCATCGCTCAGTTACTCAATGATTTCCTGTTCTAATTACACGACATTATACAGAAAGACATTTGTAGAAAGAAAATGTGTCTAAATC